TCACCCAATTTGATTGGTTAATTTATGTAGATCACCCAAATAAGGAAATTGAAAAATGGGTCGGTAAAATTGGTCCCTTTTAGCTGATTATTAACAATGATCTACAAATTTAGTACGAAATGATAGTGCAGTACGAAGTATCGATAATGTTACCAGTCTCGCGACACGATCATGGTTATACTAATTATAAAGAGATAAGTCAAATAAAAAGTTGAGAAAAATAAACCCAGAATAGAAAATATCACCAAATTAAACCATAATAGTGTAAATACAATAAACATACTGTAGTTAGTTGATTATTGATTATTTGATTAAAATCATTTTTCGAATAAAGAATTTTCGCAAAATTGGAAGATACCACCAATCAAAACAGAGATTTATGCTAAATTTTTTTTGCAAACTTGAATTGATCTTAAGGCGTTAGCGTTACTTATCACCATCAAAAATAAATGCATGTCCAAAAATAAATTAACCTATTTATTAAACAATATATATATCATGTCCCCTAAGTACAAGTGTCCATAACTCAAAGATGACTATTCAGCAAAGTATTATTAAAATTATTGCAACTACTGACTATTTTCAATTATTCATCTTCATCACCGTTGTCTATATATTTAACTTTTATTACAAACATTTTACTCGTCCCAATCCACTTCCTGGCCCATTACCTTTACCAATCCTTGGAAACTTTCATAATCTTGGAAGCGATGTAAGACAATTCTATATACAATGCCAACCAAAATATGGAGATATTAGTGAAGCGAAACTTGGTCATAGATACATTGTTCTTTCACGTCCAGAATATATTGATAAAATTCTTGATCGTAAAGCATTTCACGCGAAGCTTCCATATTCGCCAGGTATAGATGAAATGGGAATGTACGGACATGGGATTGTTTTCAATAATAATTATGAAACTTGGAAAACTAATAGAAAGTTCTTTACGGATACATTTGTACCACGGGAATATATGGACAACGTCGTAAAGTCTACAATTAAACTGTTTGAAGAATTGAGCAGTTATTGGCAGTCACTTGGAAATCAAAATAATAATTGCGATACTTGGACGCTAGAAACAGATTTTTCTAAATGGTTCCACAGATTTACAAATGATATTATTTCAATATTAATCACTGGAGAACATACGTATTCAATTGCTTCCTATTATAACAAGCTAAGTCCTACCAAATCTGAATATTCTGATGCGCTAGTCGAGGATGGGGACAAATTTGTCAAGTCAATTATACAGTATATTGAGTGTATCACGTTCTTTTCATTTTTCGGTCCCTTTATAAGGCATTACGTTCCAATAATCAAAGACAAAAATAATGATTATTTAAAAAATCGAGATTATTTGTTTGGCAAATTAGATAAAATAATAAAGAAGAGGAAAGAAGAGGTCAAAAATTTATCAGTAGATTCAGAAAAGAAAATGGATATGCTTACTTCCTTAATTACTGCAAACACAAATGCAAAAGCTTCAAATGACGAAGAGTTAAAACCAATAGTTGATGAAGAGATCAGAGGCAATATTTTAGATGCTTTCTTGGGTGGAACAGATACCGTAAGTATTGCTTTATATTTGGTGTTTTTGCTTGTTATCTATTTATTTCTATATTTATTAACTTGTATTTACTTATGTTTAGACTGCAAATTTATTCTGTTTCGTAACCTACTTTATTTGTAAAAATCCACATGTAAAACAAAGAATGCTTTCAGAAATTGATCATATTTTACCTAAAACTTCTGATATATCGTTCGAAAGCCTCCAAAAACTAAAATATTGTGATGCCATAATTAAAGAAGCTTATCGTATGCTGCCAGTAGCTCCTTTTGCATTCCGCACTATTAATGAAGATTGTGAAATTGCAGGAATCAAATGGCCTCGTGGGACAAATTTTCTTTTGAACTTTTTAGCGATACATGGTCACTCTGAGTTTTGGCCTGATCCAGAAGTTTTCAATCCGGATAGGTTTTATAATGATGATCAAGAAGACAAAAGCTTGGGCGACAAATCTGCTTTTTTGATGTTTGGTGAAGGCAGGCGAATATGTCCTGGAAAAAAATTGGCAAAGGTAGAATTACTTCTATTCATGGTTTTAGTATATAAAAACTATAATATCGAATTGGTAAATGTGCGTGAACCATTAAAAATTCTTACTCTTGCCACTTCGAACTGTCAGGAGTTGAATGTTAGAATTAGTCCTCGAGCTTGATTTATTAATTAAATGTTAATATTAAGGGTTTTTTCTGGTGATTTTGTTCCACTTTTTTTTTATATTATTAAGTAACGCGAGGTGCATTCAGGCAATTTATGCATATACTGTATAATTAAAAGTTGTAATAAATCTAAATTTGTATTTACAGTCCTAGTATTGCATATAAATAAATAGCTTAAATCATAATCAAAACTCAAAGCATTTCTTAAATTAGTGCAAATTAATAGCGTAATGGTATCGTATTGTATTTCTGCAGAATTGGTATGCTGATCGGATCATGTGAATATTATGCAATGCTATTGCAAATGATGTTAATGATTAATATCAAATGCAAACGTGTTTAAATAATCAATTGTTCTGCGTTATATGACTAGGAGTACAAGGTAAATCCTTTAGCTATCTTAAACCGTTCTTCTGCAATTTACACTTAAGAAAATAACGAATGAATGAGAAGGATTTTAAAACTTAGAAAATCTACATAGTTATAGAAAATCAGTTATAAATACTAAGCCCCGTATAAAGTTCTTGAAGTGTTTCTTTGCACTGCTATTGCTGCTACAGAACTAAAACATAACCAAGATACACTGGTCCTACCGCAAAATCCTGACACCCAAAAATCTCGAAAACCATAATCCCAACGTGACAATTAATATTTAAAGATTAGTAATCACACTAACATTCATTGTCAAGCTTTAAATTTTTAATTGTCACGTTGTGTGATGTCAGTATTATGTCCCGTTGTGATTTTGGATGTAATGATTAGACTTTTAATTAAAATTTTTACGAGGATGGCAATAGGCCAAATACGTATATATCAACATTACAGGGGTGGGCGCCGGACATCGTCTCAATTTAGTAGAGTATGGAAAGGTCTTCCTCTCCGCTCCAGCCCTATCAATCAAATCAATCAAACATGCTTGTGCATTAAGAATAAAAAATTTCTTGAAAACAATTAAGTTATTATTCATCATCAATGTACTGGTCGTTTATGTAGTGCTGTAAATAAAACAGGCATAATTTCATGGATTGTGGGTTATTTATTATCACTTTATTATTTTAGTTTAAACAGATAATAATTAAACCTGTATGTAAATACATATGTACGTGCATAGATCAAACTTTATTTTTATATAATATCAACCTTGTAAATAGGAATTGAATTTAGAATTTCTTAATAAAATTACAATTTTAGGGTAGAATTTATTTATATAAATCTACACCCCAACCCTAAAAAATCATAAGAACCATTCCCACTTACAACAACACTAAGGGAAACCGATATTTCTGAAAGTAAATGTGGGATTTTTGTTTTGAAAATGACCTTATAGGGCATAGTAATCACAATATTAATAAGATCATTTTCAAGGCAAAGACCCCTGTATTGTGAATTTTATAATGCATCTATTTTTAAGGCCGTGTTTCCCCTAGCGACACTCTACTATGTTCAAAAACAAATTTATTAGAACATTTACTAATCCATATAATATTCATGCACATATTTTGTACATTTAAGATTATAGTTTGGTTAGTGATGACCAATTTGCAAACATTTACCGTCACTCATATCTCCTGACCTTACTGGTATTTGACTTTCCATTCAGAGAATTTCGAATCTATCAGTAAGTACATAAGCATTTATGATTACTTAGACTAAGTTCTATGTTTAATAAAAAAAAAATATGAAAAATATGGATATTGTCATGTCCGATGGTCATATTTTCCATGTTTGTTCTGACAACAATGCTTTATAACGAAGTTATTGGACCAAGAAGGAATGATTATATCATAAATACTTTGCTATATCGAGCTGAAGCCTAATTATTCTGTATTTTAAAAATGTTCACTGTATTGAATCTAATATGTAAAGAATTCACGATAAAGGTTTGTGTGTTATATATACATATGGGTGACGCCAAGAGAAAACCAGGAATTCTAAAAATAGACTTCCATCCACAGCGAAGTTGCGGGGTTTTTTAATCGGTCAATGTAATAACACGATGTTATTACATTGACCGATTAAAAAACCCCGCAACTTCGCTGTGGATGGAAGTCTATTTTTAGAATTCCTGGTTTTCTCTTGGCGGCACCCATATATATATATAATATATAAATAAATGTAAAAAAAATTATAAATTTTTTAAAGTCTGTATAGTAAACGTTTTAATTTCTTGGGATAAATCAGTATCTAAACTAGAATTAGAACTTTTTGTAAATTTCCCTGATATTCTCTTTGTTGATTCACGATTAACAAGCATAGCATCAATCTGTCCTTCATCACCACCAATCGAATGGATTGATGACTCTACTACATCTATAATAGAATTAAGTGGAACGCTAGCTTGATTAGAACTACCTATCGAGGAATCTGATGAAGTTGATGGATTTATACAATTAGATGATAAAGAGGAGGATTGTTGAACAGAATTAGAATGAACTAAATGAATATCTTGATTACTATCTTGAGTGCCAATAATTATATCTTGCTTCGAATTGTCCTTTTCAAAGAGAGCAGAAGTGGTATTAGGCTTATTTCTAGCAAAAGAATCGTTTGGTAACAAAAGTTTAGACGAAATTTCTGGAGGTGAGAAAAGCTTAATCAATAGCATGTATCTTAACCATTCTAGAAAAGAATGTTGTAAAACTAAATTATTATTGTTGCTATTAATAACTCTATTATTAATAGGATTATTATTATTATTAAAATTGTTATTAATAACGATGCTGTTATTTATAATATCGTCATCAATATCTTTATCAATAACATAGTCCTTATTGTAATTTGGTGTTTTCAATTCAACAAAATCATTATATTTTCTTGACGTGCTGGATTCATCAGTAATGGCTTTGTTGTGAGATCGATGAGGAAACCGAGACTCATAAAAGTTAACATTGGAAATCCACCATTGTAGTTTAATAGCCTGAAAAGCACGAGTAACCGTAATATCCTGAGAAAATACTAAAGTATTCAGTAATCCTAAGGCAAAAAAATTAAATAAACAAAAATTATTCATAACAAAATAATCAACAATGATTAAATAAAAAACATTTTAGATATTTACCTTGAAGTGACACGCCAGTGAAGCAAAATAATAATAGAGGATAAGGGACCGCACGATTGAAATAAGCGTAGGTTTCAACGAAAGAGTTAAAAAATTGAGGTACCAATAGCACCATTGGATACCACACAACCCTTCCGACTAATGATGCCTGACGAAACTATTTTCGTGATGACGAATGGTTTCGTCATGGTTTCGTCATGACGAAACCTTGGCGATTGACGAAACCCCTGACGATTGACGAAACTCCTGACGATTGACGAAACTCCTGACGATTGACGAAACCCCTGACGAAACAACTAACGA